ATTTGAGGTGGATCAAAAAAGTTAATCAAAGTTGTCCGACATGAACGGGTTTTGTTCAAAATTCATGTATAACTTTGATGAAAGGTTTTTAATCCACTTCAAATGTTGACTACTGTATATTACGTATAAAATATGATATAATCTTGCTATCTGTAATATAATGAAATCAATTATTAATTTGTTTCGGGTTTTTTTACATGAACAACATCAGTCAGACATGAAGTTTTAAGTTTTAACAGTGATGTTTAAGTTTTTACCCTCACCACAGCTTAACCCCCCCAAATAAATCAGTACATACATAAATAAAAAAATTATAAAAAAATTGCAGAATATAAAAGAAAATTTCTAAAAACAGCACAGATCGAAGGAAAGATAAAAATTAATAACAAATACACAGATTAATAAAAGGTTGAGTGAAAGATTTTTTATTTTACAGAAAATGTTTCTTGTTATAATGATTAATATTTTTTTTAAGTATTTCATTATATTATAATAATATATTCAATCGTTTCTTGCTGAAACAACATAAATAGATTAAATGATATTAAGATTTTTTTAACTAATACAAATGACAAACACAATATTCTTTCTATCTATCTATCTATCTATCTATCTATCTATCTATCTATCTATCTATCTATCTATCTATCTATCATCTATCATCTGTCTGTCTATCTATCTATCTATCTATCTATCTATCTATCTATCTATCATCAATCATCTGTCTGTCTATCTATCTATCTATCTATCTATCTATCTATCTATCTATCTATCTATCTATCTATCTATCTATCTATCTATCTATCTATCTATCTATCTATCTATCTATCTATCTATCTATCTATCTATCTATCTATCTATCTATCTATCTATCTATCATCTGTCTGTCTATCTATCATCTGTCTATCTATCTATCATCTATCCATCTATCCATCTATCCATCTATCCATCTATCCATCTAACAAACATTTTTAACAAATAAGATATGTTAGTTATTTTATTTATAACTTTTTACCAAAATAACTAAAACTGAAATTAAACAAACCTGTATATATATATGTGAAAAAACACAATAAAATTACTAAAACTAATTTTTTTTACTAAAATTAATCTGAAAACAGAAAAACAAAAAAGCTATAGTAGAATCTCAATGATATTATAATTATTTTTCCTTTAGTGTATGGATCATTTCTATTATAAAGCAGGAGCAGTGAGTTCTCTCTCGTCTAAACTCCTGCGGTTCCTCCGCTGGATGCAGATTTACTGTCGGCTTGATGCGCCGGGTACGAGGCCGCTCACAGCAGTGCGTGTGCAGTCTGGACAATATGAGGTTTTATCATTTTTGAAAGTATATAAAACCACGAGAGCCGATGTGACGTAGACGAACGACTGTTTTACGAGCGCAACGTCACGAGAGCCGAACTCTCTCAGGATCAACACTTGATCAAATAAATACAGCTTTAGAAGCGAGAGAGAGTTACTGTGTGTGTAGATGGACAGTCAAACCAGCATTATTCAGACAGCTTCAACATTTCTCACATTATCAGTTTATTCGCTATAGTTTAGAAAATGGTGATAAATATGAGCAGAACTCAGTGGATATTTGACTGGTTTTGTCCGTCCTTCTGTTAGACTCTCACACATGAATTATGTTGAATATCTGTCAGCTGTTAAATTTAACTACACAATTAGATAATACCAGTTTAGCTCAACCAGTGACCAAGCAATGCTTCATGTTGTTCAGTGTGTGTGTAAAAAGAGCATTAGCAATTACTAGGGGTGTAACGGTACACAAAAATCACGGTTCGGTACGTACCTCGGTTTTAAAGTCACGGTTCGGTACGTTTTCGATACAGCAAAAAGTAAGAAATGCCAGAGAAATTTCTTATTTGTTAAAAGAAAAAATATTTTTTAAATAAGTGAGTTTTCCTACATCTTGAAACTTTCAGGTTTATAAATGGGGGTCATCTTTGAAGGATGAACAAATAATGTTTTGGTCATCACATTAAAAATAACATTTAAATATATGAAGAGTTTAGATGCAAAAGCCATTTGAAATTTTCTTCTAGAATGATCATTTTTATCAAGCTTGTATATTTAAGTTCAGTAATTTCACTTAAATGGCAATGAAGATTGCCTATTAATTGTCATTTGAGTGAAATTACTGAACTTAAATGTACAAGCTTCATAAAAATGATCATTCTAGAAGAAAATTTCAAATGGCACTTATAGAGGCTTTTGCATCTGAACTCTTCATATAGGCTATTTATTTATATAATATTTGAGTTTTGAAGTGCTGGAAAAAGATGTGTGAAGTACTTGAAAGCATTTCACTATTCCAGCCAAACTGCTTACAGTTAGTGTTACTATATTAAATCCATGGTGAATGTTGCTGGTCTGTGGACGTAAAGTATTACTAGTTCATTCATGGCACAATATTTCTCCTGGTGTCCACGTCAGCGCTGTTTGATCTAATAGAGATCTACGGTTAATAATGGAGAAATTTGAATGCTTCTCACTAGATCTCGCAGCGATGTTGTTATTTCAGTGGCGAACTCAAATGTTTTCTTTACTGGATCTCTTAGCGCTGTGTTGTAACGGTTGTAACAGTGTCGCTTGATCGAGATCGGCTCCCGCTGCACAGATGTTGCTGCTCCGAACTGATAAACGATCCGTGAAGCACAATAGCGCAGTTTCGTTCCGCTTTCATTACGCTTGCCATTTGATGTTGCGCAACGTTGTGGTGATCGCGCCAGCGCGAATTTTGTCGGCAGGAAAAAATGGTCCAAGGAATCGTTCGGTTTGTATGCGTACCGAACCGGAAGCCTCGAACCGAAACGGTTCAATACGAATACATGTACCGTTACACCCCTAGCAATTACAGAAAACACACTTCAGCAAAACATGATCAGCTCAAAGTGGAGGAATCAGTTTTGCTCCCAAATATTTTAGTTAATCACTGTATGAAGAATATTTGGGTGTAATATGTCTCAGTTTACTTTATTTTGCTCTCCTCACTCACATAAATGAATGTAGTGTTGTGTACCGACTAGTGAAAATATGATATCTAGTGTCTGAATAATGTTTGGTTTGACTGTATGTATATATACGTCACACCCAGCCTGTCTCTCATGAGCACTCGTGCCCGTTGCAGCAGGTTACTGTATTTCTCGTGTTTAATGTGGTGACCTTTGACTGTAAACGGCGATATTGAACGAAGCCTGTATGTTCTGCTGGGCTCCAGATGCTCCTCGAATGAGCCTCGTGATGTTTCACAGCTGAGCGCGTCTCGAGGTCTCGTCTGTAGAGCTGCGGTCGCGGCCGTCGCGTTCGCTCGGGGAAACCCTCCATCATCTCTGACCGAGGGGCGAGTTTGTGCCGTCTGACTCAAACCATTACAAATGACACGTGTGATTTGGTGTTTTTGGGTAAATTCAGTGTGTCTTGTAAATAATAGCCCTTACTTACTAGATTTTTATATTTAAAAATAGTAGCAATGCACAACTAGTGGTTTTTAACTGCAGTTTCTTCTGATCAGGGTTCGTACGAGGTGCTTGAATTTGACTTTTTGAAATGTAAGTCCTGGAAAACCCTTAAAATATATATATATTTTTATGCAGAAGTGCTTGAAAGACAATATATGGGAAATTTATTTTTGCTTTAATTAATAAAACGATCTTTTCACACACAATTAACGCTGCAGTCCGTCTGATATAGAGGCGTTTCGCACGGCTATGAGCGCGATACTGCTCATATAAATATGATACAGCTTTTATTCAAGTCAATCATATATTCATGTGAGAGTTTGACTAAGGAAAGCGATATCTTTGTCATAATATCCTTTCAATGGTTAAAGTTTCCGCAGTCATTGCATGTGCTGCACTTTATTTGCACCATTTTGTTTTATTAGTTTATTTTAATTTATCGATTTACTTTTTTTGGAATTTAAAAGATAATAAAGATGTTGTTTGATAAGTGCGATCTCTGATTGTAGTCCTTGAAAACCAAAAAAGTAGTGCTTGAAAAGTGCATTTTACAGTTTCTGCACGAACCCTGTCTGATGTTCTGTTTATTGACCATCGTGACTAATAGTAATTGTCATTTTCTGCATGCGTATGAATCCAGGCGGATTTCGAGCTGCGGCTCTTCCAGGTCCGAGGCGAACACGCGGAGGCGGTGTCCCGTCTGGAGTCGCTCCTCGACGGGATCCAGCGGGAACAGGCGTGTGTCTCCGTGCGGGAGCGCCGCGAGCTTCAGGAGGTGTGTGTGTCCACCGAAGACGACCTGCCGCCCAAAAGCTTCCGCAATGTGTGTGTCCAGACCGACCGCGAGACCTTCATCAAAACCCCCGAGGGTGACGACACAAAACCACTGAACTCCAGCTCCAGCCTGCCCAAAAAACTCAACCTGGACTCCATTAGTGTGAGTTTAGGTGTGAGCCCTGGAGCTCCGCCTCCACCTCCTCCTCTTCCAGGTAGCTCCGCCCCCTTTCCTCCTCCTCCTCCTCCACCTCCACCCTTACCTGGGTTTGCACATGCCCCGCCCCCTCCCCCTCCCCTTCCAGGAGCACAAGCTCCGCCCCCTCCTCCTCCCCTTCCAGGAGCACAAGCTCCGCCCCCTCCACCACCGCTCCCCGGGGCTCCTCCCCCAGCCCCGCCCCCTCCTGGTCTCCCTGGAGCCCCGCCTCCTCCACCCATCCCGGGCTTCGGCCCGCCTCCTCCTCCAGCTCTCGGCTGGTCTGGATTCGGACCGACGGTCGAGAAAGCGCCTCGTAAACCTGCGGTGGAACCGGCCTGTCCCATGAAACCGCTTTACTGGAACCGCATTCAGATTCAGGACAACAAGTAAGTCCTCTACACCAGACACAAGACTTTCTTTCTTTCTTCTGTGAAACACAAGAGCAAAATTTGGGTTCCTTTGCAAAACTTTGGCATTTCCCCAAGAAACGTTGTTTTCACTTGCATTCCCCTGAGAAACGCAAAGGTTTTGCGAGCGAACGCTAAAGCATTGACATATTATATTTCCTCCCATCTTATATTTTGTCCATCACCATGTCCCTTTAGGCGCTCCGTACTATTTGCACTTAGTGCACAATGTCAAATATAATATATCTGTCAAATATAAATGGGTCAAAAAAAAAAAACTTCATGCCTTAAAACATCTTGAATGTAACTCGACACCCTTTCCTCATTTAGTATGCGCGGTTCTATGCATATGCAGATGAGCCCCGCCTCCACTCACTCACTCCGCTCAGAGATCCACTGGTTGACGATCACACGTTGATCTGATTGGTTACAAGGTCGTTTGTGACGTCAGAAACACCAGCGATTTCAAACCGTGTTTTTGAGACTGTCTTTGGTTCACTGCAGTTTTAAGGAGGAAATACTCAGCAATGCTGTCGACTTATGAACTTACACATGGTGTGTCTTAAAGCACATTAAAAACACCACATAGACACATAAACAACATTAAAAGCTGGATTTTCACCACAGGGGGACTTTAAAGTTGCATTTTAAACACTGAAATGCATTCAGAGATGTCTCCGTCCATCTGCATTAACTAATGGGAACCTTATTGTAAAGTTTTACCACAAATATCATATTTACTAGCAATGCAAAGTTCATTGGTTGGATTCCCTTAAAATGCATGAACTGATCTCATATATACTATGAATGCAATGGAAGTCAGTTTGTATAAAAGCATTTGCCAAATGCATGAATGTAAATGATCAGTTTTAATCCGTATCATTAATATTCATGCAACTCTGAGAAAAAACGTCAGATTTGCACGTTTATATCACGCAATTCTGACTTTATAACACAATTGAACTTTATATCACTCAATTCTGACTTTATAACACAATTGAACTTTATATCACGCAATTCTGACTTTATAACATACAATTGCGACTTTATATCACACCATTCTGACTTTATATCACGCAATTCTGACTTTATAACATACAATTGCGACTTTATATCACGCAATTCTGACTTTATAACATACAATTGCGACTTTATATCACACCATTCTGACTTTATATCACGCAATTCTGACTTTATAACACACAATTGAACTTTATATCACGCAATTCTGACTTTATAACACACAATTGAACTTTATATCACGCAATTCTGACTTTATAACATACAATTGCGACTTTATATCACGCAATTCTGACTTTATAACACAATTGAACTTTATATCGCGCAATTCTGACTTTATAACATAAAATTGAACTTTATATCACGCAATTCTGACTTTATAACATAAAATTGAACTTTATATCACGCAATTCTGAATTGTGAGATGTAAACTTGCAATTGTGAGAAAAAAACAGCCAGAATTGTGAGAAAAGTCGCAATTAACTTTTTTTTTTTTTTTTGTGGCGGAAATGATCGTATTTTCTTGACCTGCTAAGAACCCTAGCAGAATTTTGGACTAATTATAGCTTGTTTATTGAGAATGAAGGACAACCAGCTAATAAAGCATTACAGTAATCTAGTCTAGAGGTCATGAATGCATGAACTAGATGTTCTGCATCAGAAACAGAGAGCATGTTCGGGAGCTTAGCGATGTTTATGAGGTGGAAAAAGGCTGCTTTTGTAACATATGAAATATGATTTTCAGAAGGGAAATTGCTGTCTAATATAACTCCCAGGCCTTTAACTGTAGAGGATGAAGTTACAGCACATCCTTCTAAATGCAAATTATATTCTAATAGGTTCTGTGTACAGGTTTTTGGTCCAATTTGGAATTTAACCAAAGAAAATGACAGGTCATCCAATATTTTATATCTTTAACACACTTAATAATTTAGAGATTTATATAACTAATTCCATGTTTTCTTGTAATATTACCAAGTGGCAGCATAAATATTGAAAATAGCAGAGGTCCGAACACAGAGCCTTGCTGCACTCCGTAATTTACAGACGTTATCTTAGATTTTTTTCCCCGTTTAAAAGACAAAATGGTAACGGTCTGATGGGTACGATCTAAACCAGCCTATGCCTGTCCCTGAATCCCAGTGTAAAGCTTCTCCCTCGGGATAAAGGAGTGGAAACCAGACTGTTTAAAGACTCCCTCGTACACCATCGCCCTGTTTGTGTTGCTCGTGTTCCTCAGCAACGGCAGAAACCAAATAAGACAATCGTTCAAAAATACTTCAGATCAGTCTCATTCATTTCAGTGTCTTTATATTCAGTGTTTTAGTGGAATCACAGCACAGCAATGACCTCAGATAGTAGAAATAAACGTTAAACGACTGGAACATTTCACATCTGTTCCTCCAACAGTGTTGTTTTAAGCGTTATTCAAACGCTGATCGATCACTGCTGTATGTGTGTGTGTGTTTACAGTAATAACACACTCTGGAGTTCGCTGGAAGAGCCCAATATCATAAACGCCAAAGAATTTGAGGATCTGTTCTCGAAAGCCGCCTTACAAGCCAAGAAGAAACCGCTATCAGACACGTATGAGAAGAAGAACAAAGCCAAAAAGGTACGTCACAGCCATGACAAATTATGAGTCTGATATCTTTGCTGGGTTTATATAATGGTCAGTGCTTCCTGTAAAGATGCTTTGTGTGTTAACATAAATACATAGAGTGTTTATAGCTTGTAATTATAGGAAATCACATTGTTTTTACCACTAGAGGGGGTTTCAGGCACATTGTGTCTCACTGCCAAACATAATAACTAGGGCTGTCAAAAGATTAATCGCGATTAATCGCATCCAAAATAAAAGTGTGTGTTTACATAATATATGTGGGTGCACTGTGTATAATTATTTTATTTATATATAAATACACACACATGCATGTATATTTAAGAAAAAAATATTATTTATATATAAACTATTTATATTTATATATAATAAAAATTATATATAAATCTATATACAGTATATACAGATATACCTATATAGAGGGGGTTTCAGGCACATTATGTGTCTCACTGCCAAACATAATAACCTTAAAGTCATCATGAAAGGGGAGTTGCGCTGGTCTTTTCTCCTCTATTGTGTCGTATATATCCGAGAGAAACGCTTCTGGAACAAGAACACATGTGGGCGGGGCTTGATTAGGTCTGATTGGATGGTTGTGGTTTGCTATTGGCTGAGCTCATGTGAGTGACAGGTTATAGCCCCGCCCACATCATCAGAGAAGAGAAGCTGCAAGAGGAACTTATTCTGATTCAAGGTTATTAAAACAATAATGTTGTGCACCGATAAATCATTTAGAATAAACACTGTAATATAATATTCCATAAACTATAATATATATATATATTTTTTAAGTGCATGAAACTACCTTTAACAGCGGCATCATGTGATGACAATGTGTTGCTTTCATAAAGGATAATGCAATGATTCATAATGCAAGGAATGAGGGATTTACTGTTAGTACTTGCATTAAGTAAGCTTATTTTGAGCTCTTATTGCCCATAATGCACTAGTGGTGTTTTGATCAGATTTACAGGTTACATGGGGTTTTAAAAGACAATATTCTACAATGTTTTATCGATTTAACGATGCGCTGAGATTTATGCTGCATGTACATTAACTGGCTTTCATTCAAGTCAGTTATTGTGGTCAGGCAGAAATGACTCTTTCAGCAGTGTGTGTGTGTGTGTGTGTGTGACGTTTCACTGGACTGTGCAGTTGTGGCAGTAATGGCTCTGGTCTGGCGTCCAAGAAGTTAAAAATTCAGGCTGGACCCAAAACAGTCCAGACACACTTGATCAATCAGCTGGGCTCCACATCGCCTGTGTGTGTGTGTGTGTGTGTGAGTGTGTGTGTGTGTACATGTTTTTCTATCCCGGTGGGGACTTAAGCCTGAATGCACACACACTCATGGGGACTCGTGTCACTGTGGGCCTAAATTGAGGAAACAAGCTTATAAATCATACAGAATGAGTTGTTTTTTTGACAATGTAAAAATGCAGAAAGTTGTGTGTGATGGGTAGGTTTAGGGGTCGGGTTAGTGTGTGTGTGTGTGTGTGTGTGTGTGAGTGTGATGGGTAGGTTTAGGGGTCGGGTTAGTGTGTGTGTGTGTGTGTGTGTGTGTGTGTGTGTGTGTGTGTGTGATGGGTAGGCTTCGGGGTCGGGTTAGTGTGTGTGTGTGTGTGATGGGTAGGTTTCGGGGTTGGGTTAGTGTGTGTGTGTGTGTGATCGGTAGGTTTAGGGGTCGGGTTAGTGTGTGTGTGTGATGGGTAGGTTTCGGGGTTGGGTTAGTGTGTGTGTGTGTGTGTGTGTGATGGGTAGGCTTAGGGGTCGGGTTAGTGTGTGTGTGTGTGTGTGTGTGTGTGATCGGTAGGTTTAGGGGTCAGGTGTGTGTGTCCGGTGTGTGTGATCGGTAGGTTTAGGGGTCGGGTTAGTGTGTGTGTGTGTGATGGGCAGGCTTAGGGGTCGGGTTAGTGTGTGTGTGTGTGTATGTGTGTGTGATGGGTAGGTTTAGGGGTCGGGTGTGTGTGTGTGTGTGTGTGTGATGGACAGGTTTAGGGGTCGGGTTTGTTTGTGTGTGTGTGTGTGTGTGTGATGGGTAGGTTTAGGGGTCGGGTGTGTGTGTGTGTGATGGGTAGGTTTAGGGGTCGTGTGTGTGTGATGGGTAGGTTTAGGGGTTGGGGTGTGTGTGTGTGTGTGTGTGTGTGTGTGTGTGTGTGTGTGTGTGTGTGTGTGTGTGTGTTTGATGGGTAGGTTTAGGGGTCGGGTGTGTGTGTGTGTGATGGGTAGGTTTAGGGGTCGGGTGTGTGTGTGATGGGTAGGTTTAGGGGTCGGGTGTGTGTGTGTGTGATGGGTAGGTTTAGGGGTCGGGTGTGTGTGTGTGATGGGTAGGTTTAGGGGTCGGGTTAGTGTGTGTGTGTGATGGGTAGGTTTAGGGGTTGGGGTGTGTGTGTGTGTGTGTGTGTGTGTGTGTGTGTGATGGGTAGGTTTAGGGGTTGGGGTGTGTGTGTGTGTGTGTGTGTGTGTGTGTGTGTGATGGGTAGGTTTAGGGGTTGGGGTGTGTGTGTGATGGGTAGGTTTAGGGGTTGGGGGGTGTGTGTGTGTGTGTGATGGGTAGGTTTAGGGGTCGGGTTAGTGTGTGTGTGTGATGGGTAGGTTTAGGGGTTGGGGTGTGTGTGTGTGTGTGTGTGTGTGTGTGTGTGATCGGTGGGGTTGGGGTGTGTGTGTGTGTGTGTGTGTGTGTGTGTGTGTGTGTGTGTGATGGGTAGGTTTAGGGGTTGGGGTGTGTGTGTGATGGGTAGGTTTAGGGGTTGGGGTGTGTGTGTGTGTGTGTGTGTGTGTGATGGGTAGGTTTAGGGGGTCGGGGGTATGTTTGTGTGTGTGTGTGTGTGTGTGTGATGGACAGGTTTAGGGGTCGGGTTTGTGTGTGTGTGTGTGTTTGTCACACACACACACACACACACACAGTAACTCGCACTGTATTCACATATTCACACTTTTATTTTCATCTACTTATTTTTAAATGTGCATAATAACGCATGAATGGAAACAGCTTATGACGAGTTTATGATGAGTTTTGCTGAGTACTTGGTTAGTTGTGATGTAGCATATGAATCATATCCATCGCTGGCACATTCTGGAGCTTTATAAAGCATAAGTGTGTGTGAGAATCTCTCGTTAGTGTTTCTCAGATGTGTGTATCCTCGCAGATCTGATCCTCACAGCTGAAGTGTGTCAGAGCTGCAGTGTGTGAGTCAGTGTTGCTGTGTGGAGCCGGTCCTGATGCACACACACACACACACACTCACACACACACACACTCACACTCACACACTCAGTGTTTACTCCGTTCATTCTGCTTATTAAACCAGAGCATCCACAACATGTCAGACGTCACCTTTGACCCTCGAGTTCCCAGTTTCCCACTGACGAAGTTCATTTCGCCATCAGAGCTGCAGGCTTTTCTTATTAACACATATATTATTATTTCGGTAACACTTTACAATAAGGATTAATTAGTTAACATGAACTAACAATGCAAAATATAAAGTATTTGAAACTGAAAAAGAAAAAAGTTGCTACATTTCCTAAACTTTTTATTAATTTTCATTTCAGTTTTAGTTATTTTAGTATTTAATGAGAACTGTTGCCTTGGCAACAGCTGAAACAAAATAAATTGTATTTGGTAACACCTTTAACATTAGGTTCATTAGTTAACATGAACTAAGAATGAACAATACTTCTACAGCATTTATTAATCTTAATAATCTTAATTTCAGCATTTACTAATACGTTATTAAAATCAAAGGTTGTATTAGTTAACATTAGTTAATGAACTAACATGAACAGCTGTATTTTTATGAGCTAACATTAACAAAGATTAATAAACACTGTAACACATGTATTGCTCATGGTTAGTTCATGTTAGTTACATTAACTAATGCACCTTATAGTAAAGTGTTACCGTTATATTAATGCATTATTAATAAGCGAGTATCCGGCTTTGTTCTGCCTTTCTGTGTGTGATTTAAGTGAAATTATTTATTTAGCTTTTAGCGACTGAAAAGGTTAATAGATGCTGGAACTCTCTTGTCTTGGCAGGACGATGCAATTTCTGAAAGAACGGCTAAACACTAGCGGCGCGTTTGCAGATCCATCATTCGAGTGTGTGTTTACTCGTTGTGAATCACTCTTCTGAGAAGCCGGCGTCCGGGAAACCCAGCCGAGGCTTGAGTCGCAGTCCTGACGGTGCAATAGAGCCGGACCCACAGCGAGACCGTCAATAGTGTCGCGGCGTCGCGTCTGAGAGCTCAGAGTGATGACACTGCACACACACACACACACACACACACACACACACACACACACACACACACGAGGCTCAGAGTGATGACACTGCACACACACACACACACACACACACACACACACACACACACACACACACACACACACACACACACACACACACGAGGCTCAGAGTGATGACACTACACACACACACACACACACACACACACACACACACACACGAGGCTCAGAGTGATGACACTACACACACACACACACACACACACACACACACACACACACACACACACACACACACACACACACACACACACACACACACACACACACACACACACACACACACACACACGAGGCTCAGAGTGATGACACTGCACACACACACACACACACACACAGAGCTCTAAAGCTCTAAAGGACTAAAACCTAATGACCCAGGATATAACAACCCAAAAATTGGGTCAAATGAGCAGCCTACAAAACACTGCTTATAGTTCTCTCGTCGTGCTGTTATCAACAAATATTGCCAATCAACTTGTTTTCTTTCAATTAGCACAGGTTTTAGCATTTCGTTTTGGCACTGACTGATCATAGGCCGCATTGATCTGAGTTTATGCACCAATATTTGGTGACAATATAGCTTAATGAGAGATTTGCAAGCAATTTTTAACACCAAATTAGGTAAAGGGTGTTCAGCACAAGGGCTAAATGTGTCCTCGTCACATTAAATGATCAATCACTTTTAA